GCAGAGGATAGGATCTCTGAAAGCGTATTTGTTAACTGTTAAAGAGATTTACAGTACTAAGAACAAGACTGTGAATTAGACAAAGAGCGTCTGCCTGGTGATTGATATGGTAAGAACAGTAAGATAAAGTTACCGAATTAAAGCGGCAGTAGCTTGTTATAAATAATTTAATAAAGAAGCTAGCTGTGCCGACTAACGTTGTTTTGCATAAAATAAAAAAAAAAAATTAGGGGTGGACTACCTCTAGCATTTAGGGGGATGAAAAATAGATATTGGCCGATTCTCAGACCTACTTAATACGCTCACAAAATTTCATGAGAATCGGTCAAGCCGTTTCGGAGGAGTATGGGAACGAAAACTGTGACACGAGAATTTTATATATAAGATTAAAGAATCTATTTATACCCATAAAAATATTAATAATAACATGTTTGGATCGTCAGCAACTATATAAGTTTATAAAAACTGCGTTGCATCTATTTGCGCCCGTCTCCAGAACTAGATATACATTTAAACAAAAATTAATAAGTATATGTTTAAAAGAATCTGTTAATTTTAATACATATAACTTATCTGAGTATAAGTAAAAGAAAACAATTTTCAATTTGGTCAACTTATGTTGTAAAGCATGCAGATGATGTCTAGGAGATTTTTATGGAAGAATATTCTAGAACGATAATTATGATTTATAAAAGATAGTGAATTTATGTGAGATATGAATGTATGTGTGTGTGCAAGTTGTGTTCCGGTTTGAAGGTATATGGTTAGATATGGCAGTAAATTACGGGTTATGGAGACATAATAACTTAGTTCTAATGACAACGCATGAGGGGTTCCACGGGCGTCACATGATGCTTTGATTACATATTGTCCTTCATCTGTATAAGCAACCGATATCACTTTCCATTATGTAGGCCGTAGTTTTGTTTGCCATTTTACTACACAAAAAGACTTGGGAAGAATTCACGTCCTCTCATGTCTAAAAGCCATAAAGAAGCTAATAAGGAGCAATTTATTTATTTGTGTACTATCTTATTAATATTATAAACGCGGAAATTTGTGAGTCTTTAGATGTATGGACGGAAGGATGTTACGCTTTCATGCAAAAATGATATAGAAATGGATTTTAATGATACTTTACAATAATATAGCTTATACATTAGAATATCACATAGGCTGATGAAACCGAAGTGCACAGCTAGTATACTACAAGAAATTAATTTAAATATTTAACAACAACCAATAATGTAATATAAGCTCTGCAGTAAAGTAATAAGAAATACAATGTGTTATAACAAAACGTTCCTGTCGAGGATGTAGATAATGAATATGACAGAACAGAGGGGAAAAAGACATAACGTTGAAAAAGAAAATCACTAAATAGTAACTGTTTTAAATCCAGGACCTTACAACTGAAATTTGTTTTTTATTTCATTTTGTATTAATATTATTTAAAATTGAATTAATTTATACGCTTAAACTTACAAACCCCATAATAATATATATCAAGTAGTAAAACTTCTTTAGAGAGAGATTTTGTTCTCTTTTTCACTTTGTATCAATATCATTCAAATGTGTAATAAACATTTATACCCTTAGACTTATAAATCTCATTTAGACGAACTCATACCTTGAAGGAAGAAGGAATCTACTTCCTAAGAATAAAAAATTTGGGAACTCCAAGCTACCATAATGTATTCTAACGTGCTCACACCTTGTTTGTATTTATAGCTTTCTACGTCCAACTAACGATCACTTTGGTGGAAGCCGGGCCTTACTTCTAATAGGCTACGTTGCGCAACCCACATAAATCTGAAGAACGGACCAACCGACATTTATTTAATATGCACAGAAGATTTACCTCTGGCGAGCATTGAATTTAATCGAGCCCAGCTGCTGTAATGGAGTTTATGAACAATAATATAAATGGTTCATGCGTCTTGAGGATTTGGTGGACACGGTTTCCGTTTTGGAAGGCTAAAATACTGTGTGATGAATTGTTTCTTTTATTGTTTGGATAATCGTTTATAGTACTATTGGAAGGCTACAAGGAAATATTTTAGTTACAATTTGATTTGTCTTAATTATGGAAGTGTACGGAACTGCTTTGATATTAAGGGCGATCAAGGACAAGAGCAAAAAGACCACCGGACAAATTATTCCATTGTTAATAATCCAAACCCGCGGAAGGACTTATGGAGCGGCTGAAGGCCGCCTGACGGATTCGACTTTAGTCTGAGGGCACCGATACCGGTTCGAACCTCGGCTCAGGCCATCAATATCGATGCCCGTTTGAATTGGACGGGAGATCAATCGGAGGGGTTCACAGATGTGTGCACTAATAGATTATCATCCATTAAAAATGATCTACGACCTGAAGAAACTAATTCCTAGGCAAAGTTTAAGAATCGTTCTCCTGATGGTAATCTCAAAGAAACATTGAATGCACGCAAAGAAACAACCAACCAAACTGGGTTAATCTAAATCGGTCTACGGAAACAGACGAATTATGAGTTTCGATGAAATGTAACGTGCCAAAGACCGGATATAAAGTTTTCAAGCTTTTTATATTATAAACGAAGACATTGACGTGTTTATTGCCGATTTTTGTGTCACTAAACATTTATTTTTATGTTCTCTTATTTTGGTGTCTATTTCTTGTTACTTTACCACAGTCTATGGAATAGTTATAGAGGTGATTTTTAAAATATTATTTTTTCTTACAATTATTATTCCAGATCGATTGTCATGTACATATGCATGTGGTTTACTTTTATTACTAAAACGATTTGGATATTCTCTATCAATTAAAAAATGTATGGATCTGTGGGTTGAACTAAAAATGAACCTATGGGTGAACTCTATGGTGTGAATAATGCTGAGTTATCAATTTGACTTTTATTAGTATGTCTTTTGTATTACTTTACTTCAATAAGAATAAATATTTTCTTGATATAATAAAGTAAATAAAGTAAATTGTATTCTTAAGTTTTTTTTTATAACTCAAGGAAGTTTACTCAATGCCATAAAGTCCCAAGCTATGTAGAGTTTATTATACTAGTAATACTTCATTACATATTTCTGTAAACACACACATAATTTTCATAGACGACACCCAGATCGCTAAAAACGACCATACTACATGAATATACAAGTTTGCACCATGCAGGAATCAAACCCGCGACTATCGGAACTAAAGCGGTCTGCTAAACCGCTAGAACACCGAGGCTGACGAATTTAATCTTCAATAAATTATTGAAATAAACTGAATTAGTGTATTATAAAATGAATTCCATTGATATCAAATTTAATCAAATGCTGGATTTATTGTGACATATCAAAGATATTGTTGTCCATATATTTCACGATATTATATAAGAATACGAAAAATGTCGACAGCCGTATAAGAATTCGGCTTTCTTCAGATCCTTTTTCCTTTTATTAGCGATAAGAGTATAATAAAGCAGTTATACGTATTATGACAATTTCTAATGTAATTTCATTATATGATGTAACGTAATATCCATTTAAATATTAAGTTATGTTATGTCATGTATATATTGAATTAGTATAAAATATTATATTAACATGCATTGATTTCATAGCAACAATTAGAAATGTTTATATAGATATAATAATAATAATCTCAGGACAATTCACACAGCGCCATCTACACCCAAGTTAAGCTAGCTGAAGCTTGTGTTATGTGTACTAGATAACTGATACAAATACGTAGATCTAGACCCAAGTTACAAATACATAGATAATTTATTGTTCGTAAATATATACATAGAAAACATATTATACATAGAAAACATCCAGACCGATACAAACAATCATACTTATGAATTTAATGTTTGTGCCGAGCGAGGAATCTAACCCGCGACCATCGGATGTAAAGCGGTGTGCTAGACTACCGAGGTCGTCGAATGTTTATTCAGCATAACATTAAATACTATTTTTAATGTTATATAATGTCAGACAATTCACAACTATTTTTAATGTTTTAACATTATCAACAAACATAAATTACTCTCCAATTTTAACTATTTTATTATCATTACTTAGTATAAAATAAAGTCGCTGTCGCTGTTTGTCCCTATCTATTGCTTAAATCTTTAAAACTACGCAACGGATTTTGAAGCGGTTTTCTTTAATAGATAGAGTGATTCTAGAGGAAGGTTTATATATATAATACACCCGTGCGACGCCACGTCTTGTAGCCAATGTCATATATTTAAAACAAATTCACGCTCATAATTTTTTTAAGTTATTATAACACATACTGATGAGTTATAATAACTTAAAAAAAAATTAAATAAATATTTATTTAAAAAAATATCGACTTTATTAATGGAATAAAAATAGTTTACGTTTGAATTAACATTAAAATAGTTGAGAATTGTCAATGTTCAATTAATAGTAAAACCTTATTTTTTTTCTAGTATCTTTAGGCTTATTGTAATATTTTATTATTAATACATTACAACCAAAATATATAAATATAGAGTTGGTAGACGAGCGCGCTCGTACTTCTCCTAAGAAATATTATAATTTAGCTTTTTAAAGATTCTGAATGTGTATGTACATGTTCATCTTCTGATCCTGTAATGTCATTGTGATCAGCAGAATAAGATACAGCATCGAAGCAAGCAAAGGTATTAGACTTTTTCCAAACCTTACCCTTTTCCCCTTAATTAGTATTTTCCCAAACAACAAAAGCCAACATAGCTGAAAGACACTATATTGAAAATTGAATATTTGTACATGTATTATATATATAAAACTTCCTCTTAAATCACTCTATCTACTAAAAAACCGCTTCAAAATCCGTTGCGTAGTTTTAAAGATTTAAGCATACATAGGGACGGAGAGACAGCGACAGCGACTTTGTTTTATACTATGTAATGATATATATATAAACAACTTGATACTTATTAAGGATTTGGTTGATTAAATAACAACTTTACATGTTAGATGTAAAAAATGTCAGAACTTACATGCCAATTCAAGAACCGCAGGTTGACTTCTAATGTTTCCTCTGCTACTCCACGCAAAACATGTGCATGTGAATCTATCACCAAAATAATCCTCTAATTGATCTCTAGTCACATTGTATTCTGCCTCCACAATCCTAACACCACTCTGCGGATCTACAAACTCAAACTGCGTACTAGCATCTGATTTCATATCATTACATTTGAAATAAACCTGCAAAGCATTAGCAGCTCGGCATCTTAGAGTAGTCGGTTTATTTCTAACTACAAAACCATGCTGAGGTTCCTGTAGGAACATTGGAAGATCATCAGTAGAGCTTTGTAACAAATGATCGCCGGATAAAGACGGCAATTCATCTGTATCTTCTCTATTATCATGATCATCTTCTTTGTGAGATTCGTGATCATAATCTTCCTCTAAATAGTCTCTGTGATGTGGTGGTGGTCGGTTTTTTTCGGAATTGTAGGGATCTAGTGCTTCCACTCCCGCAGGATGAGCATATTCAGGTCGCAGAGGTATTGGCGGTGTGGGAACTACCGTTGTGTGGTCAGGTTCTGTTGTATTTGTTTCTGTAACAAAAGGAAATAATTAACTTCAGTAATAATACATAAATTTACTAGCTATGACCGCGGTTTCATCCTCGTTAAATTTTAATAAAAAATATAACTTATATGTTATTCTGATACATAAGCTATATTACAGTAAAGTTTCATGAAAATCCGTTCAGTAGTTTTTGCGTGAAAGAGTAACAAACATCCACGCTCATAAACTTTCGCATTTATAATATTATCAAGATTAAGATGTAATATTATATCTATATGTCTGTATGGGTAGATATAAGTAAGTATAAGTTCAGCTCTTTGCTCATTTGAAGTGAAATAAAGCTAGGTCTATTCGCTAATATGACTTATTGTCATATTTTAAGTATATTCAATCTTTATAGTATAAAGCATACTTATTATATAAATGAAAATGTATGTAGGTATGTGTATGAAAAGTCATAACTGTTCCTATAACAAGTACGTAATTATATTTATAAATATAAATATATAAATATAAGCTTAAGCATAAATATTTGCATACGTAACTAAGACGTTAGAAATAATAGATATCCCGAGAACAGTATTTATGAGGCGGTAAAATGTACTAATGTCGCCAATTTTAGTTCCTGCATGTTTGCAAAATCTGACATTAAACGAAACACAATTAATAGTGTTGATATAAATACTATCAAAGAGTATAAAGTTAAGTTATATGATGTCATTACAAACAAACTGCAACTGTCATATTAACACGACCCTCCGTATCTCGTCATCGATTTCTCTCAAGCCCGCACCTGGTTTGACGCCTCAGTCGCGCCTATTTACACGCAAAACATAGATATTTAGATACTGTACACCCTACTTTACGATTTCGGGCATCTCCAAACCAAATTTATCTCACCATCAAAGAGATAAAGTTGAAATTTATACAGCAACAAAATTTAAATATCCCTTTCAGAATTTCGCTCAGAAATTGCTATCGCCACATCAGTGTATGTTACACTTTCAACAGTGTTGACAGTAATACTGAGACTATTATTTGAAGACTATACGAAAATAAACCACAACTTGCGCGAACTGAGGATAACTTAATTAGTTTCACTTCCGTTCGGCTTATTTCTATTTCCGTTTTCGTGGGGTCGAACGCTATTTCCTACTGGGATCTATTTTTCCTTAATAGGATTTGTTTCGGGGGTCGTTTTTCCCTGCTCGTCGCGGTGCTTAGCGACCGCCATATTAAAATCATTAAAATTCCAATTTGCCTTGAAGACTCTCAGGTGTTACTGACCTATATTTTTGGAACGGAGGTCTGTAATTCGTGTTCTTAATGGTAGAGTTTTTATGATACATTTATAAAAAGATTTCCAGCTCTTTTGTACTTATAATACCAAACATTTTTCTTATAAACAGAATTATAAATATTAATTAAATATATAATCTCAGCATTTTTATTGAAGAGGATAATGACTTGAATTGTAATGATAGCATTTAATGTGATAAAATAGAAATATTTCACACTAATCTTAAACTTAATGACAGATTTGAAGTTAACAGACATGAGAAACGAAAAGAAACAAGTGATGATTACTTAATTACGTGGCGATCGATAATGTCGAATCTAACTTCGTGTCACATACTCATTTATTCTGACGGAGGTGAGGTCAATTATACATTCTGTTGGGCGTCCGAAGCTTAGCAAGCATTTCATTATAGCCTGTTTATCCCATGTCCGCCTCTTATTACCGTTGGATTGGGTAACACTTCATTGCTTCGTCAAATTTAATTGGTTTTTAGCACTCCGATTTGATTAATAACTGGTTTGTTGCTTTCGTAATATTCAAAGCTTCTTGACGATAATTTCAAATAAGATTTATCTGAATTTTAATTAACATTTATTTCTTAGTTGTCTCCATCTGTCGTATCACGTCCGTATTTCAAATTAATGCTTTTGTATTGTAGGTTATCTTTTATATTTAGTTAAGTGTTCACGCTTCTTGAAACTGTTATCTCGCAAGTAACGAAATTATATTTATTGGTACAAGAAGCACAACTATAACGAATGCACATCACAAACTCATTGTATATTATAAATACATGTGTGTCGAATAAGACGGTCTACAGAATGTTTACGGTATCAATCAATGTTGGTACATCTTCACTTTCATCTTGTTAACTCTTTGAATACTGACTCTGACCTTAAAGCCATAATTCAATATCAACATTCGTTTAACACATCATTAAGTTGTCGGATTCCCGTCGTACGATTCTAATACCAGAAAATAATAGATGGTGTTCTCTTAGTTTTAAAATACAGCCCTATACAAAATGGACACGCGCCAAAGAAATCACAAAATAAATGTAAATGGAGAAATGCCTTATCGCCACGACACGAAGTGAAATATGTATAGACTGATGAATGTTCGAATTCTCCGTGAGACTACTAACGAGATCTAAAAACAAACTGAGCGCCCATCGAATTGGCGTCATCCCGTCATTAACAGTTGGAAAGAGACCGCCTCCTGTCATTTTGTTTGGTATTCGAATAATTAAGGTTTAGATCGATGCTATTCTAGATAGAGAAGGACTTTATTGATGAGCTATGCTTAATCAACGTCCGGAACGAATTCTTGTTGCGTCAATGTATTTAAATCGAGGACATCGCTCGTTTTACATTAAAATTATTACTATAATGGCTTTAATCTATAGTACACATTCATAATCGTTAAAATATATGGAACCATTGTAAAGGTTAAGCTATATTTAAATAAACTACTTTGAACTAGTGATCTTGAAATGAACAATAAAGAAAAAACAGTTCTATCTGTGGAGACCACGCGTTGAGTAATAGTGTCTATTAAAATTAAATAAGAGGCTCACACATTTTATCACTAAAACATAACACATGTGCCCAATAACATCAACTAAGTGGCTCTCGAACCGAAAACAGAACGTATAAAACTCTCCAATCTTCTAATGGCGCAGAGATATCGTACATTAAACCCGTCTGTTTTTTTTTGAGTGCGCGATAAACCTTCATAAGTTTATAAGAGTATTGTATAAATAAATCAGTAGAGAACAGAATACGTGAGTCCTGATAAATCTGTTCGAAGAAGGCGTAATAAAACATTCAACCGTTGCATTCGCATCCGTTGAGTCGAAAACGCCTCCCGCTCTTGATGCAGTTTTACTCGTAAATGCACTTAACGCTAAGAGAGACATAAAAAGATGCACTCGATCTAGTTAATGGAGACGTGGGCGGGGTTCTGAAATATTACCGAACGCAAATCAAAATGGGACATGTGTGCTGTCACATATTTTTTCTGCCCTGTAGGTCATACAGATGTTGTTGAAAATATAACATGAATAAAACTGATATGAAAACTGGTTATGTGTAGTATGGAATTTGTGTATATATACTTGTGTATGTATACTAATTTTACAATTTAAAAAAATCTGTCTGTCTATGTATATATTTATTATCTTTTCACGTCTAAATGACTGAATGAATCTTAATTTTGGACATACCTATTACTTTGATATTTAATAATTTAAATAATTATGACATTCGTTGTTAATATCTGTTAAATTTATTAATTTGATATTAACTTAATTGTAACTGTAAATTATTTCTAAGAACAATGTAACCTATTTAAAGCAAATAAATAAATGAAATTTATACATGAAGGGTAATAGGTACTATTTCTATAAATGATCCGATTTTGCCAAATCTTTATTATTCGAAAAAAAAAATCATTGTATGTTAATTAATTTAAATTATTAAGACCAAGTAAAAGAAGTCCAAAAATAAAAAATAATTTTTTTAGAGCTGAATCCTATTCTAGTACTTCATAACAATCGGTCAAGCCGTTTCGGAGAAGTTTTGTTACAGACACGAGAATTTTATATATAAGAAGAAGATGTAGGAGATATAGTACTATATTTTTTACCTATTCAACAAGATCATGTTTGTAATTAGTATTTGACTATTTCTGTGCCCTCAAACAGTGGTTGCTAGTGAATAGTGATATCATTAAGTTTGTTTACCATGTTTTATTGATCAATAAAGTTTAAATAAATAAATAATATAGCTAAACACTATTAACAACTCCAATTAATCCGGGATACTCGACGGATCTACTCCGTCTAATATGTATATTAGGTATTTTCGCTATACTATAAGTATTAGACAATTTCTTTCGAATTGACAACAACAACAAAAGGTTTATCAATTCTTGTTTCAATAAAAACAATACAATGACAATGTTGTTGTTGTCAGCGTATTATTGTATTGAAACAAAAGTTAATAAATCTTTTACTATTCGGAATATATTTATTTAAGATTTCTAAATCACATTTTAAAGTAGGAATTACTCAGTACATAATTGAATTGTTTTTTAACATTATTACTTAATAATTCTTATATATTCTTTTATTGCACTTAAATACATTTTAGGTACGTTCAAATTACTCAGTACATAACTTAATTATTTCTTAACATTACTTAATAATTCTTATATATTCTTACATACATTTTAAGTACGTTTATCAGAATTCTTACTATAATTTAAACAAAGCTACAAAATACACCAAGTATTAATAGTTTCCCTTTTTCAAATACTTGAAATGACCATTATATTATTCACTTAATAAATAGAACTCAATTAAATTCGTATTTGTGCAAAAAGTTCGAGAGCATACAAGTAAAGGTGTATTGAAAACAAAATATATACAATGCGTTAGCAAGGTGCAAAAATCTCAGGACTAAAATTATCATTCAAGCGTGCTTTCAATGAATGCACCGACAAATTCTCACCGTTACTGCGAGAACCAGAAAAACTAACCACACCCACAAAAACTGATTGAATAGCCACCTTTACACTGGAACTGTAACACGATATATACAAAGAGTCGTCGAGTGCCAGTCAAGACGTTCCCAAACAAGATAATCCCTTTGTTAGTCGAGTTATAATGGCGTCTCTTGGGAGTCCTTCGCTATTATTTTCTGTTTCATTCATAGCAGCTGTGAGGTGTGCTTGAGTGCCCGTTTCCTATTTCAACGCTAATGGAACTTCGATTTTTGAATCACATAATTTTATATCCTATAATTATGTCATAATGGCTTATCCCATTTAATCTTGCGCAGGTAATAAAAACAATTAAGATCTGAGATATTTCTTCTACTAAAATATACTGTTTTAGTCTTGGTTTTTGATTCTCTGTTGATATAACGTACAATATGAGTTTGCTATGCATAGTAGCTAGATCGTTATAGAGTATCGAAAATATATTACGTACTAAAGCGGCTAAACATTAAGTTCCAATTAAGCATACGTTTTTGTGTATCAATAGCAACGATTTTTTCGTGAAATAACTATCAACTTTTTATGTCCTACACGGCACGCCGTGAGTGTAGTGATATAACGAGACTACTATGGTTATTGAAGAATATTTTAATGGGTTTGTCGTGTTCGGAAGTAGCACTTAGATCGTGACAAACAAAGTTTTTTGCCTCATCGAGTCACGTTATTGTATCGCCCTTTTTATCATCATTTTTTTTTAGTTTTTGCCTCATCGCGATTGCTTTCTGAAGCGACTCTTCGGGCAGTGACAGTTACCTTTTTTGCTGCGTACCTTCAGTTATCTGATTTGAGATTAGGTGCAAAGTCTTCAAGTGGTAAAGCGTTGTACTTTTTATCACCCTCTTAGACTTTTTTCGGCATAGATAATAAATGGCTTTTTGTAATATTCCTTTAAGATAAACGCTATGAGCTTAGTTAAGTAACTTCACAAAATTATTTTATTATTTCGTTCCTAGCAATCACAACCGAAAATGTTTATTTTATCACTGCTATCTCGTTTAAATTGTAAATGAGTTTTTCTTACGTTGCCACAGAAAATTATGAAAGACCGTAATGTTCATACGCTTGTCATGCACAGTTATAAATTATAGGATCTTTTGTAGACTTCATCTGTAATAGTTACTAACTACCATTGTAATACACCTTCATGACTGAAATCACAGATAGTAGTCAATAGGAGTGGAAGTAGTCAGAGTCATTTACAATGGTCGATGTTGTGGTGATTAAAATATATTTTTTTATATTTGACATGCTCATATGTCTCTTTATACATTTAATCCATCATCACATAGCGCTTGACTAACCACCGTCTTTCGGATTAATTCGGTTTGATATCAAGTTTTCATCACAGAGATTTAATCAAAAATACAATACAAAATTTTTGGTGTTGGCCGAATTCAAATTCAAGACTTTTCGGTATAAGTTGGAGACGTAAGCCACTACCCCACGATGTTCTCATTATTAACGAGTTTTTTTAATTAGGTATAAGTGTGACAAGCTTAGTATCGGTTTAATATACTACTTTACGTAACTTAAAAAAAAAGTAACTAAAAGGTTAAGGAAAAGAGTTTAAACTCACCATGTTTACTGTCCGCGTCGGCTGCGGCGACCACCCAAAGCAAGAGGAGCAAGACCCTCCTCCGCGCCATCATTTCACACGCGTGCACGCATCACCTAAAACAATAAGCCTATTTGAGTACGTGAAAGCTGGCTAATATTTGTTTAGTTTCGAGGGCATGCCTCGTGCAGGTGGACTGGACAATGGTTGCTGTTGGCGTAATTTGCTTTTGGAACAATATGTTTTTTGAGCGCATTCCTTTTAATATCGATTCCTGATTTATAAATTTCTACATTAGTCTTCTGGTTTTTTATCTAGAATTAGTATTTATTCAGGTTTAGACTTCGTGAGTGTTTTGTCAATTTTTTGGAATTCTTGACTAGAACTACACTTTTAGAACAGGTAAAATGGTTGGTTGGAGTGCAAGAAAAATAAACGGAAGGACAAAAAGAACCACTTCTTTAGTCATTCCATTAATTTCTATTTACTATAAAAACGAAAGTCTTTTAGTTTGTCAAACACACATAATCCTTTTCATTGCATTGTTAAAAACTAACGGATTAGTACGCAAAAACAAACTAACAAAGATCCTAAGTTTATCATTCCTTTTTTTTTATATGATATACTATAATTTCATCATTATCAGCTAATGACATAGATGGAGCATGGAGCTGTATTATATTTTGAGAAAACTCAACAACAATAATTGCACTTGCCAAACCGGGCGAATCGCTAGTTCAGCGTAAAATGACTAATTTAGAATTTCATCTAAGTAGACGTGCAATTGCGGTTTATCAACGTAATATATCATTTAAATTGAAGCTGTCTAAGGACAGAAGTAACGCCATTTTAATGTGCACTTCACTGGACAGCAGTTACAAATTCGTGCTAATTTATGGCAATCGTAAAATCCGTTGCTGCTGCGATAGTGTCGGCCAATGGACTTGAAATGGAACACTTATTAATGCGATAATGCATACGTATACAGATTTTAATTACTTCAGCGAATTCACACCCCGATTGGTGCAGACTTGTTTAATTTCATTCGCTGATCATTTCATTAATTTTTCTATATACTACGTCATATTTGTCGTGATTTGGTTTCATGTCATACACAACATTAATTTTGTTTATTTTTATATCTATTTAATTTGTTTATTATAATTTATCCTTTACTATCTGTGTCCACGGTTTGTCCGCATGAAATTTATAGCCTATGTGTTTTCTGATGTACAATCTATATTACTGTTCAGTTTCATTATAATCCATTTAGCAGTTTTTGCGTGAAACGTCCATAAATCCATCTAAACACTCTACGATTATCTGATGGTACCTATGCAATGATGACAAGGTACAAAATTCACCCTGTAATATGAAATATTTGCAAAAACAGTTCAAAACACATTTTTCAATACTCATATGTTATAATCTGACATTAAAGGTGTTTCGTGATTGCTACTTGGTTGGTATTAAACCCCATTAATTTCGTTCGAGGTTAATCTAAATAGTCATGATCCAAATGTTGTCTGAACCACGTAATGTGGATAAACTAAAGGTATATTTATTTAATCTTACGAACTGAATTTAAGAGTAGCTCATTGATACAAAGCAGAAATGGCTATTTTATAACCTTCACACGACCTCATCTATGTCAGGAACATAGTAGCTGGAGAAAGATAACATTTTCAGCCACCTTCAAACACATTGTATCAAAGTAAGTGTAAACCCTTATTGAGAAATAATATATTGTTGTGCGCAGAAGCACTAGATGTTCCGGGTTATAAATTATAGCTATCGTTGTATCTGGTGTCGATTGCACAGAAACACCTAATTTGGGTTGTTGGAATGTGGATTTATCTTTGTTATTATTTCATCTACTCTGTCTAATATCTAAGTTTCTACTATAACAACGCCGTTAGTGTTAATATATTATCGTGGAATGTTAAATTAATTGTTATTGTTTTATTTAATTTAGACGTTATTCAAATTTTATGCCTACTTATTATATGCGAGGCTTTAAAATGTAATTGATGGTTAGTATTAAGTTGCTAGTTTATTTACATATTTTCGGTTTGAGTTGTATCCAATATGCAACAGTACAGGTTTGTTGGGTCCCTTACGTTTATGGTTCTTTACGATAAATCTAAAATTTCATTACGGTGTAGTGCCTATATCCATATATGATATTAGATTTGCTGAAGAGATATGTATTTTAATGTTTATATTTTGCCAAGCATATAATTTTAAGCTCTTTAATAATAATAAACCAGAACAAGCGTCATTTAGTCCCAAGCTAAGCAGAACTAGTCAACTGCCATAAATATTTAGATACATAATATATAAAAAAAACATCCAAACCAATACAAACAATCATAATCATGAATACAATTGTTTGTACTATGCTAAGAATCGAAACCACGACCAATGGAAGTAGAGCGGTGTGCTAACCGCTAAACCTCGAGGCTGTATTTATTTCTATATATATATATATATAAAGTACGGTGATAGAGGATTAATTCTGAGAAATAAGATGTTAAATCAAATGGTACATCATTAATATACGCCCCTACCTGACGTTGTAGAACAGTTCAATTTGGAAGTGCACTTAAAAAGTTTACACTTTTTTGATTTTAATAATGCTACTTTGTAAAACAAAACCCTGATGCAACTAGATGCATTTAGAATATTAAACAGTCCATTATAAATTTCCGGTTGGAGTAATTCGTCAAATATAAGCCCATACTATTATGGTACAACCAAACATTTTAGTATGGCACGGTACCGTAACTAATTGGGTCCTTTCGGGGCGTTTTACGGAAAAAATAAATGGTCCCATTATTAACTTGGGTAAGTAGCCTTGTGGCGTGCAAGCTATAGAGATGGAATCCAAAATAATATTTGGAACGAATCGTATTTAGAACTATTACGGCAACAGATTGTCGGTTTTTGGCTTTGATCTAGTTTTTATCGTATCGGACTTAATGGTAGCTATGGTATATTTTAATTTACTAGTATAGAACCAGTTCTGTTTTCCTTATGTATTGCAGAAAGGTAAAATAGTACGGAGGAGTTTAAATACACACAGTTTAAAGTGAGACAAATTTCTTGGTAAGGTGAATGTATATATTAACATCAGCTTTAAAAAAATGTAATACAAGAAATCGCATTACAAAAACAATGAATAGAAAAAAACTGGACGTCGAAATATAAAATACAATAAAAAAAACTATCAAAATGATGCTATTAGCAACTGTATTCTATGATTTTTTTATAATATCCTAATTTTACTTTCCATTGTAAATTTATATGTGGTTTATGGTCAAAGACACAATTCTGGTAATTTTGAACATAAAAAATAACACAAAGAATATAACAGTAATATACGAATAAAATATATATTTAATTAGAAATCATTTCAGCAATAGGAACTGTTTCCAGATATGTTGGAGTACTGAATGTTTTAAATATATTAAACTGTAAATCGTAAGTGTATTGCGATTTAAAACGTTTTACTTTTAAGACAAATTCAAATATTGTAAAAAAGCAAGTAAAATTGTTCAGTTTGGATATAATTAAAAAAAGAGCGATTAACCGTTAGTAGTCTTAAATAACCAGATGCTACACTAGTTTACAGTTTCTTAGTAATTTCACCTTTAGTAAGTGCTTCGCGTCTTAAAATAAATGGAACAGCAGCAGTTAGACATCCTTTAAGACTTAAAAGCTAAGCTAAATTAAAAGTCCAAATTAAATACGAAACTGTTGTACATTTAAATAACTATATTTATGGTTAAATAATTATCGTGGGTAATAAATAATCCGTTTATACTATGATCATTAAAGAAGAATTTTGTGTCGACGTGAAATTTAAACCATCGTGGGAATTTCCAAAGACAGATTTATCTTCGTAAAGAAGCACGAGAAGAATAATACTGAGTGGAAATTAAAATTTTTCGTTATCTTCATTAAGTAGGTGAGAATGTAATGACTTCAATATTACTTGACACTCAAAAGAGTGAATTGAAGTCTGTTACATTTTAAAACTAGTTCCTTAAAAACAAGCGTTCTACAATTTTTCTACGACTATCCTATAATTTCACTTCCTATCACTGAATCACAGCTTACAAAGCAAGCTGCTAGTCAGCTGAAAATGTAGAACTGATGTACCTACGCAGACATATATTACAAAGTCTATCAGTAAAAACATCACGCATAATTTGTAAACAAAGTTTAATACTATCGTTATTAAGCCAATTTTAACCAATAAAATTACGTAAACAAAATCTACAATACTTTGGTGACAATAAAACGTGTTTGGCATAAGACCCTCCATTTAAATAGCCTTGAATAGAATCTAATGATATTAAAACTTTCTGTATACACTTGATGTATTCTAAGCTAATTGTGTAAGCAAACCAATAAATCAGTGTAACGATTAATCGAATACAAAACTCGGTAACTTGTAAATCGAGTTAGAATTCGACTCGGGGAAACTGTTTGTACTGTAATTAGCACGAGGATGCTCTATTTGGGGGTATTTTTTAGAGGTTTTGTTTACTTGTATAATGTAATTTGTAAGGGTCAAGGTACTGTATCGATAGAAGTAATATTTGACCCAGTTTTATACATTTGTCATTTATCTATGACTTTAATAATTTACGTTACTATTGAGAATATTGTATATCTACTCTTTATTGTTGTAAATAAAATTTAAACATCGTTATTAAACATATACTGTTTGTAAATAAATATGTTTTTGCTAGTTTTAGCTAGCGTTTCTGAATGATTATGATTGACCGAGATAAAATGAATGCTATGAATAAAATCAAGTCAAATCAAAATATGTTCATTCATGTACTTAGGTCTATTTCACATTCTTATGATATGTGAAATCTACCGTCAATTCGGAAACTCTACCTTTTTTTTTTAATCGAGCTTGTCTACATAAATACAGATTTATTATATGGATTAATAACCCCATTGCTTACAATGTACCATGTGAGGTTTCCCATGGAAACCATCATGTTAAATTCCTGAATGAATTTACCACGATGGGTTAACTGACCTGACTGGGGGAAGGGGATTGTTAGTAATGTGGACTGATGATCTCATTGCTAGC